TTTATTTGTTTATATTATTAAACATTTCTTTCAACGTACGCATGCGTAAAGCATACATTACTCATAGTCGAAATTAGAAAATTCCAACCAGAAAACTAGTTGATGTGTATTTGCGATATTTATAATGACGAGGAATTTGATTTAAATCATTTCAAAGACGGAGTACATCAAGATGAAATACTAGGTTTAGTAAGGAATTATAAGCCGAATAAAATAAAAACATCTGCCCTGAAGATAAGGATAGCAGTGCTGACAGATCAATTTTCAGTTTATTGTGCGCCGTGATGTCCCCCCCCCCCCCCCCCCGCAGAATAGCGTGAAATTGATAAACAAATTTCGGAATGATTAGAGAAACAAAGGATATGCCTTTATCCATTTTTTGCAGCAATTCCACTTTTGGTTTGATGGTCATCGAAACATGCTTTCTCTTTGTAGAACCTTTGGCAGCTCGAGAATCGAAAATTGTTTTTGACATAAAGTTCAAGCTTACTTTTATAAAATTGCTCTAACAATCTGCAAAAAATTAATAAGTCGGATCCAATTAGAAGATTAAGGCACAATGCAATCTGCAACATTAACTGAAATAGATAATTAGATAATTTTAGCTTAGCTTATACCGTCTGTTATACATTAAATGCGCATGCGTAAACATATTATGCACATGCGTAAATGTATTATGCACATGCATAAAGGTATTACGTGCATGCATAAATGAATATGTGCATGTGTCAACGCATATTCTTTGAGGTCCGGATCATAGATCATTCCGGATTATGAATGTCCGGATTGAAAACTGCAACTGCACACACATACACACACACATAAAAAAAATCTGAAAGCTTTCAGATTTTACATTATGCCCAAATGGAAGTTTTTTTACAGTTTTGTGTGTTACCTTTATTTACTAAATATCATATTCTTTGTTTGCACTTAAACCATAAAATTCAGTTCAACAGCAATATTGCAAAATAATTTTAAAATGAGCATGTCTTTAGACTTTCTGATACACAGTCTTGCATGCTGGAGTTAAAAATGTCCCCCCCCCCGTACATTGTTGCCATTGCTTGCTTTGAAATTGTCGAGCTTGTTAATGAAAAATTCATTTTTTTATAAAATGTTAAATAAAAAATAAAACAAATTCCAAATTTGGGCTTCCAGATGCCCATATTTGGGTGGAAACATACGTTATTTGAAATTTGATGGCTTTAGGTACTGTTGTTTTATCACAATGCGAGGAACATATATACATTTATGCAGATTCTTTATTATTTAATTTCTTTAAATATAATACAGGGCTCTAATATTGGGTGGATATAGCTTAAAAAGTGAACCAACATTTAGACTGAATCAATGCAAACTACCAAAAAAATTAATAGTCCTGTGCAAATTGCCTCTTTGAACTAATAATAAGCGAGGTGGCGGGTGATCGGATGGCTGAAAAGGGGATGTCACAAGCAGATGCTGCTAGACGTCTCAGTGTCTCTCATAGTATGATTCACCGACTATGGAATCAGATTGAATTCGAGGCTTCTGTGCCTAGAAGACATATTCCAGGAAGACCAAAAATTACAAAACATGCAAGAGATCGTTATTAGCTCTTTAGACATGAAAGAGAAGCAGCATTACTGTACTTCAGTACTGATTCCCATGGAAAATCATTTAGTGGCAACAGTAAAACGAATCTCAGCTACTACAGTACGCAGAAGCTTTCACAATACAGGTTTGTATGCAAGACGACCAGCTGTTTGTGTCCCCTTGACCCTATAACACAGAGGTGCCCATTTATGTTGGACAAGAGAACACGTCTCCTGGACCAGCCAACAATAGGCATCTGTTCTCTTCACAAACGAGTCCAGGTTCACAGTGGAGAGTGATTTAGGTCATTAGCTGATCTGGAGAGAACAACACACTGGATACAACCAATCCAATATTACTGTGAAAAGAGACAGTTACAGGGGTGGTGGAATAATGATTTCGAATGGGATCTGTCTCGGTGATCACACTGACCTGCACATGTTCCATGGAGAAATGTTGACCAGTGTGAGATATCAACACAAGATCCTTGATCAATATGTCTGTCCACATGCCACTGTTATTGGTCCTCGATTTCTTCTGATGGATGACAACGTGCAACCGTGCAATATGTTGAAGGTTATGGTATGAAACAGATGGAATGGCCAGCTCAATCTCCAGACCTGAATCTGATAGTGCATCTTCGGGAGTACCTTGGGAGACAGGTTAATGCTTTAAATCCTCCTCCAGTGTCATTAGCTGAGCTTGAACAAGGATTACTCCTTGCCTGGTCGTTGCTTCCCATTTCATTGACTGACAATTTAATTGACAGCATGGAACGTTGCTGCCGCCAATGTATTTCAACTAGGAATGGACACATTCCTTATTAGAACCCATTTTTGTAATGTTACCATTTTTACACATTTTTTCTCAAACTACTGTGATGTACTGTTTCTCCAATATTGGATTTCTCTGTCATGTGTGAAATTTTTTGTTGTAATTCATATTTGTGTTGAACTTTAGAAACATTCCACGTTGCATTCATTAAAGAACTGTTTAGTGAACATATCCTCTGAATTTCTTATTTGTAAGTTTCTTCATTCTCAAATTAGACACGAAAGATATGCTATTCCTTAAATTCTAACCCCGTCTCTTTCAGTGAAAGCACAGGAAGTCAAGCTAACTGCATCCCACCTTGAAATTATGAAATTCACCCAAAGAAGAGAATCCCCCCCCCTGGTTAAGAACCTCTGTAATAGACTTTGATAAGTTTTACAGAAAATTATTACAATCTTAAGAAAATGTTTAAAAATCAGATGGCATGAAATAATTTTTAAAAAATTTCTCAGAAATGACACTTAAAATTACTTTATACTTTCAGCTAAGCACAATATTCTTCTGCTACTTGACATTTTTTTAATAAACTTTTAATTAGAAACTGTGGTAAGTGCTATGCATTATAATAAAATTCAGTGAGTTAACACAGAAGAAATAATTTTTTCTATATTTATGACAATTATATTTAATATTTATAACACAGTGACATATGTACAAAGTTAATATCAAGGAACTTCCTACACATGCCACACTGTTGTTACAAATCATTATAGATATGCTTTCTACAATGTACATTCAGTAAGTCCATCAAATTATAAAAATGAAATGTCATTTACATTAAAATAAGAAATTAAAATAAAGTTACAAATATAATTTAATTGCCCTATTTGAATGCACATTAACTGCATTTAATTTTCCTCTTTCTTTAAACAGCTATACTGTTGAATGCTGGTAACTCAGTCTGGGTTCAAATACCAGCAAATGGGCATTTTTATGTTTTTTTTTTTTTTTTTTTTTTTTTTTTTTTTTTTTTTTTCCCTATGCATAACAGGATTAGTTTCCATTAAAAAGTAGTTTATCTTAAAAATTTCTCCATAAAGCGATTCTTTCCCTCAGGCAGAATAGTACTTCTTAGTTAAAGTGGTCAGTGGACTTAGTCACAAAACTGGCAAACATAATCATTCAAATTGTAAAGTGCAAATTTCTAATGGCTACTTCAAAGAGAAAGTACTAATTAAATTCCTAATTTAATGAATCTTAATTAACCCCTTAACTGCCGCGGGCGTATATATACGCCTTGCTCAGCCGATGCGTTAACTGCCCCAGATGCGCAGCCGATGCGTTAACTTTGCGAATAATTTTAGGTGTAGCAGCGCAAAGCAAATGATAGCAGTTTGGAAGGACGTATATATACGCCTGGGGCAGTTAATGCATCAGCTGAGCAAGGCGTATATATACGCCCGCGGCAATTAAGGGGTTAAATCAATGTTGATTCCTTTCTAGCTGTTTTAAATTAAAACAATAAAATCAAAACACCACCTCTTTAAAAATCAAAACAAATAACAATAAATTCCAGAAACATATCATGATTGCTAAATAAATATATACTTAATCATTGCATGTGAATGAAAGGCGAAAAATAATTGATCATATATAAAATAGGTTAAAATTCCAAAACCGGAGTGAACGCCAAGCTTGGCGAGAGTTTTTTATTTGGCACGATTTTAATTTGGTTGTGGTTTCCAGCTGTATGTTTTCTTATGGCAAACCTAGAGCTTTATTTCGGTAACTGCAAGAGCACAAATTTAGTTAGTGTAGCCAGATTTTTTTTTAAATTTAATTTTGAAATACTGTGTTTGTTTTTAAAAGTTTTACTGTTTAATATTATTGTTATATATATGTTTAATATTATTTTTATAAATATTTGCAGAAGGTTATTAAGCCATTGTTGGTGGGAGAATGTTGGATTTCATATGACATGAAGTTTTTAATTTATGACTGTTTTCATTTAATTTTATTTAGTTAATTTTTTTTTTTTTTAGTTTTGTTTCTTTCATGTGGCAATCGAAAGATGTGGAATATTTAAAGCTTTGAACGAAAGTTGTTTAGTGTGTTGAATTCCATGACGATAGTAACTTAAATATTTTAGTTAGTTTACGATGCTGAATACGCATAATTTGGTATTCTGTTTACGTTTAAAACTGACTTCGTAGTGCTCTGATCTGATAAATGTATACATTTATTTACTCAATAATTATTTACAAGAATTGCTCATTCTACTATTTTATGATGAATTACATATATATAGGACTATGCTTTTACTTGCAAAGCTGCTGGACTTTGTTTTACTCACCTAGTATTTTTATCATCTCATTTTACTTTTCTGTTTACATAAAATAACGGCGTTTCACAACTGCAAAACTTAAAAGTTACTATTCTGTTTATGTTTAAAAATCACATTTTAGTGCTTTCATTTAGTGCACCTGAAAAATTCGCCAAATTTTGAAGGCCAAAATAGTTTGGTGCCAACTTACCCCACTTATGGAATTTTAGCCATAAAATATATAATTTATAATTAATGGAAGATTGAAAGTATGGGACATCCATATAAGAAAATGCAAATAATTATAACTTCATTCTGATATCATTACCTAGTTTGCTGCCATAAAAAGTGTTGGATAGGAAGAGGAATAGCCAAATTTTCGGGATCTTCATCGAGCCTTCTTTTCGGCATTTTATCCAATAAAATTAAATATTCAGACAGTTAAATTGGGAGCAAAATGAATCTTTCTTCTGTGCCTACAAATATACAATAAATGTAATAAATTCGAGTTTTTCATAAGAAACAGCTGCATTTTCACAAAATCTTTCAATGTTAAATAATTTATTAAACATAATCAGACACTGATGCATGTTACTAAAAATATTCAAATGTGATATATTTCCTATTCATACCAACTAAGAACGAATTGCCAATTCCAGAAATTCGCGAGATAAAAGTTTATTAACTTCGAAAATCTCATGATCATGGAAAGACAATGTACTTATTGAAAATATACGGCTACAGAACATATCCACTAGAGATGAACATAGAGAAGGGATGCGATGATGATGATGCGTAATAACCCTGGGATAAGGAAGATGAAGATCCGCGAAGGAAATTTGTACATAAAACCGGTGTTGCCAAACATACTTGGATAATTATCAATCAGTCTGTGGCTAGAAATGACATTTCGTCAAACGAGCAAAACAGAAAATACAATAATTTTTCAATATGTTAATATACTTTATTATTTAAAAATGTGCTAAATGGGATCTATGAATATTTTGTTTTTGGTTTAGTGACCGTACACTCAGAATTTAATGCATCGGGAAAGGTCGAAAACATCGTCTACTAATGCCGTTTAGAAGGAAAACCCTCCTAAGATTGTCCGCACTCTCGACCACTATTCGAAAAGACAAGAAATCTTCATTAAGACTCTGTGTCATAAAAGTACGCTTATCAATATTAAAAGTAAGTTCTACTTTGTAAAAAGCAAACCTCATAAGGGTACGGGAACACTTATGCAAGTTCGAATTTCGAACTTGTGTCTGCAAAATGTATGCTACATGGCGTACAGCCAAAGCCAACTCTAGTTGGCCTTGGTACAGCGGAGCCATTTTAGCATTTTAATAATGCTTAAGTACAACATGTCTTGAAAAAGGCGTTTGCTTTGTACGTATTGCGAAAAACGTTTGAAAAATAGATCCCAACTTTGAAAACATTTACCCAAATTTAGAAAACATTTACGTTACCTATTTATTGAAATATCATTTTACAGCTTTCAAACAACTCAGCTTTACCAGTTTTCATGTGATGATAGTAAACAAAAGCAGAAGGTTTTCGGTTTGTAACCGAACACCCGTAATTTATGACCTAGGTTAAGTTATATAATGTGATTATTTATATTTTAAATATAAAACATGGTTCGTGTGGTTTCGTGCCACCATTTTCTTTCTCAAGATGTATTTCTGTCTGAAAATGAACCAGTTGCCTTTTGTGGAGCACAAGGGAAACTACTTGTAGCCACAACTCAGCATGCAGTCAATGTTCATGATTTAGATTCTAGGGGAAATGTTCTGCACACTTTTCCCACCGTAGATATTGTAAAACAAATAATATTTTGCGAATCTGGTAAAGAATTAAAATTTTATTATTCTTAAAATATTCCCTGCTTTTAAAATTTTTTAAATGCATTTAGCAAAAATTAAAAGTGGTCAAGAGAAAAAAAATGGTACTAACCTGTGTAATTTATGATTTTTAGCATGTAATTTTGAACAAATAATAATACTTTGGTATTTATATTTTGAAGAGAATCTTGGTTTCTTCTTTATACTTATTTTATTTGGATTAGTGATGTAGTTATGAATATGCTGTAAGTATGACTTGTCATCCGTTAAAGTAAAGATGGCTAACTGCAGCTTGCCGAACATGTCTGGTTTCGGGGGCTCTATTTTATGGCCTGAAAAAAAGATTCAAAATATTTATTATTATAATTATTGTTAATTCCAGAATGGGTAAAATGAGTTTATTTTCATTCTTTAAACCATTTGCCGCGGTCATATGCAAAAATTATCAAAAATATTAACAGCATTATTAAAAACTGGTGAACTTGCATAGGTGCGGAGAGAGTTCTAATTAATTCATTTCATTTTAAAACTTAAAATTTAAGAGCATTAATATTTTCTAGAAAAGTTATGAAAAATTGCAAATTAAATTTATGTTTCTAATCTTACCTTTTGTACCGGTATTGTTTTACATGCAGCTGTGTTAGAAGTTAATGAACTTGTTTTTAACTTCACTTTATCTGCCTGTGTCAGTTTGTTCTTCAGTATATCTTAAAAATAGTTTGAAATAAAGTACAGTACAAAGTCCGTAATCTGGATTCGTTGGAACTTCGGCCATTCCGGTTTAGGGTTTTTTCCAAATTATAGATCATCAGTTTAAATCTGGTCATGCAGAAATTATACAATTAGAAATATGAAACCGTAATTTATGAAATAAAGAGCAATTATGGGTTGATCTTTACAATATGGTAACTGGTAGTTTGGCGACATTTTGGATTCGATAAAGGTTACTACCTGGGACTTTGGTAATAATGTGAGCAGTACTCAGTTCTGATTACGCATTATTTTGTGTGAGGGAAATGAGAGATCATGGGATATGTCATGTGATATTAATGTACGAATTACGGTTCTTTAATCGGAAAAGGGGGGAAATCGGGAAAAAATCTGGAAATTTTGTATTTGGTTTATTCTGTGTTGTGTGAAACAGTGTTCGTGAATTTTTGGATCTCATGGCCGTAACTAAAGAAAAGTTATCGGACACGTAATCAAGATTCTGAAGAAGATTAGGTAAGTTAGTATTTTTAATTATTTGAGGATATTATTTTTATGCATTGTTCTAAATGTAAGGTGGAAGTAAAGGAATTTGGTATTATTGGGAAAATTGTTATTAGCAATGATTTAGTTTAAAGTAATTAGGATTGTAAGGTAATTTTTATTAATTTAATGTATGTGTGCTCATTTATATTTTAAGTAGTGTTTTTGAATTTAATTATATTTTAATGAAATGATAGTTATTTTGTGAATTTTATGTTTGTAGGAATTTGGTATACGTTTAAGTTGAAGTAAACGTGCATGGAAATAATTTAAATATTTGACACTAAGTATTTGTAAAGTTTGCGGTATGAATTCGTTGGTGACGTTTATAATGTAATAGATGATTTAGAGGTAAAAGTTTTTGGATATTTTATTTATTTTATATGTGGAAATGTTCATATTTGGAAAGGGTAAATACTTTTTCGCGATCAGGTAATTTCATATATGTTTTTTACCGGGTTTAAAGATTGAGAAAATTGTCATGTATTTTCGTGAAATTTTTCTAATTTATGAGAGAAAAAAGCAGTGTATACATGGATATAGTGAAGAGTGTGCGCAATGCCATTTTTTGTGCAATTCTGGGATTTTTTTAAAGTAAAAATAAGTCGGCGTGTACATGGTTTATGTGTATGTGTTATTTTGAAAAAACGCGTAAGGAGTATGGTATTGTGCACTTTTTCCCAATTTTGCAGTGAATATTTGTCATGATTAAGCAGTTTTGTTAGATAAAATTTCTAGCATAAGTGTAATTCGGCTAGTAGATTGTTGGAAGAAGTGTTCAGTAGATAAAAAGAAAAGAAACATGTCTTTACTTCGTGAAGACAAAATGGCGGCGGGGAAAAAAAAAATAGAGGGTTGCTGTAGGAGAGTTGGTCGCCAAAAAATCGCCAAGTTACCATAATGTAAAGATCAACCCAATTATGATCTAAAGGGTATCAAAATTTACAAAAAAAAAAAAAAAAAGCTTAATATTTATTGGTTTATTAAGCATTTCTTTCAATGTAAGTTGTTTAAGTTGCTTTGTTTTTTGTGCTAATACTTTCTTTTTTCTCTCTCATGATCGCCACTTTTAGCATAACGAAACATTTTTCTGTTAAAAATTGCAAGTGGGGTGTCGGAATCCACAAAAAATTGAAAAAGAATTTTCTTTTTGCTTTTGTCATATACAGTTGACTTTCCAATGTCATGCTCCTCACATAATTTTGATACAGATATGCCTTTATCCATTTTTTGCAGCAATTCCATTTTTTGTTTGATGGACATCGAAACATGCTTTCGCTTTGTAGATCCTTTTCAGCTCCAGTATTGGAAACTCTTTTTGACATAATCAAAAGTTCAAACTTAATTTTTATAAAATTACTCTAACAGTCTGCGAAAAAAAAAAAAAAGCCGGATCCAATTAGAAAATTATGGAAGAGCGCAATCTGCAACATTAACTGAAATGCCTTAGAATCAATAAAGATAATTTTAGCCTAGCTTATGCTGTCCGTTATATATTAAATGTGCATGCGTAAAGCATACAAACAAAAAGTTTGTGGCTTTGAGGTCCAGATTATAGATCATTCCGGATAATGGACGTCAGGTTTATGGACTTTGTGCTGTATTACTCTTTTGAAATGCCCTACGTGTATAATTCCCTATATTGTTTTCTAAATATTTGTAAAATAAAATATTATGTAGTTTGTGATATCAACATACTTCTTAAATTGGCTTTCATTTATACAGAAGACATACTGGCTTGAAAGCATGTAATAAAGATAACTTTTTATGCTAGCCAAAATACCTATGTTAGAATAATGCTATACAGGGTGATTCAGAATTCATCATCAATATTTGGTGGGAAGGTAGGGAATAGGAAAAGAAGAAGATTTCACATAGGAAAGTATGGGCACAGACTAACACATAGTTGTGTAGAGGGTGCTATGTGTACACAACTTCCATACATAAGCACAGCTGTTTTGACGTGTGCAGCCAGTCATCATTCAAATAAGTGACTTTACAGAAGTAATATGAACTGGTATACGTGGAATGAATTTGCAGATATGCATGTAAAATGGCAGGCATATTCCAGAAAGTCCGGTTGTCCATGCAATGCCGTTGTGAGTCATGCATTCTAGCGCATGGTCAGCAGTTCGAGCCTCTTGTAAGTCTGTAAAACCGATGCAAAGAAATGTTGCATGTAAGATAATAAATGTTTTTTTATTCCTTACCACTTCCTTCTTATGTCTTCTTTCCATCATTGAACTGGGGTCATTTTGCCCTACTACATGGCATATGCGCACATGCATTCCTATGTGAAATCTTCTTTTTCTATTCCCTACCTCCCGCCAAATATTGATGATGAATTTTGAATCACCCTGTATATAAATGTAATATATATCTAAGTCAGGCTTTGGAGACGGCGAAAACGCAAGTTAAATTTTGACAAACGGTCCACTAGAACGGGAGGTATAGAACTTTCCTTTTTCCCCCCCCCCAAGGTGTACTTACGTATTATCCCATAAACTGTAAATATTGGCGGAGATCTCACCATGTTGTGCCAATCTTTCCTGCTAAATTTTGAAGGAATTGATGCCTGTTTTAAGCAATTAAATTTATTAAATAAACTTTCGCTTTGCTTTTGTGCTTAATAAAAAATACTTTCATCAATTTCTACTACTATTTTGTTTAGCCCTTCCATTTTACTGAAAACTACATGTTCAAACTTTCCGCAGGTAATTGTTCCAATCTATTTCTGTTTTCTTGGTCCTATTCATGTGACCATATCGTGCTCATCAGTACATATTTCTAATGGTAGGATCCCATAACTTTGAAAATACCCTTGCTGTTTTGTAGAAGTAGGTCTCAAATATTGATATTTTTTTTAATGCAAGGGAAAACTAAAATAGTTAATTAATATCTTTATTAAAAAATATTCTGGCATATCGAGAATCAATCATAGTTCTGTCAAATGAAAACGAGATATTATGAGTGTGTTGTTACATCCTGCTTATCTGTACTTGAACTTAATTGTGTTGCCTATCGATAGTTTCACGGATGATGGGATAATACAAAGGTACCTTTTATTATTATGTACTAAAAGTCAGAATGGTTTCATTCTTAACATTATCAGGCAAAATATAATCTACTGTAAAACTTAATTGGTTGAATACCATTCTGAACTTTAAATATGTTGTTTAGTCTAGATTCTAGACAAAAAGTCTTCAAAAGGGCCGCGGGTTGGGAATTCTAGGCTAGAATTACACTTTGGGGGGGGGGAGTGCATGCGTCTGGAAAAAGAGGCAAGCTGAATCTGTAGATTTTATTTTATTTATTTATTTATTTTAAGCTTAACCCTTTTCTCTCTAAATATGAAGTGACGTTTTGCAATAAATATTCCCTACAGAGATGCAGATACGTATACGTGCTCACAAATTATCTCTACTATCTCTTAAATTTAACTATATTCTTGTAGTGAACTTACTAAAAGTTAAAAATGTAGTGTGGTACAGTTCTAAGTTCTTTAGAATGTTAGAGTAAGTCATTAGGTAATTTTGCATTCTGGTTGTATGTACATTCATAAGGACGAAAGTGTTAATTAACATTAAATGTTGTTTCATATTGCTTACCTCCAAAATATTCCTACAGTCATTATATGTAATTTTTTTTAGGTAATTATGTTGCAACTATTGAAAACAAAGCATCCTGGCATAGAAGCATTGTTACATATGTACGGATTTATTTCAAATGGTGGATTGATGTAAATGGACAGCCATTAAAGGTCCGCATTGCTGGTTCTGCTCCTGTTAGCTGTGATTCTCAGTCACGGAATAAGTTATTTGAAATGGTTGAGTTACCTTTGGAAAAAACTGCTTTATGTATTGCCTGTTGTAATCAAACATCAGCTTTAGCTGTTAGTTTGGGAGCTATCATATCTGTTTTCTGTCACAGCTCAAAAATTCATGAAGAATCCAAGCAGACATTTCATGATTTTGATCATTTTGTAGATATCAGTGTACCAATAATAGTTCAAGAATTAAGTATATGTGAGAACTATTTTTCATGTATGTCTGGTAAAGCAGTCCATGTTTTTAAAATAGGGTGTGAGAAGGAAGACACTTCTGAAAATCAGAATTTTGAAGTAGCCTCAAATATAGAAGGAAATGATCCAGATTTATATGATGAAAATTTTATTGAATGGCGATTTGAATCATGTACCCTTATGAGCTCAAGAGATAAAAATTGGGATGATCACATCAGATCTAAGCTTCATCCCAAATCTTTTCCCATTAATATACATTTTCATGCCATTGACAAAGAAAATGAAAAATTTAGCAGTACTGAAGAATGTGAACTCTATGGACCTCTTTTGACTGTTAGAGGTTGTCCAGTTGAAGTAAGAATTGATTCTAAAGTGTTTGAAATGTTCCCAAATGCATCGTCTTATATTAGTGCTGTTACTTTACTGTTTAGACAATTCGTTTCCAATGAAAATAAATGTTTAACTGGACTACAATTGATTCCATTCTATGAATCAGGTAAGTATGAAATCATATTTGTAAATACATAATTGAATTATTATTATTGTTATAAATTTTTGGTGGGATTTAGATTGTAAACAATAAAAATTGAAATACATATCAAAAGTAATTTTTCAAAGCTGAATTTGAAAATCGAGGAGAAACTCGTGAATATTTCTTTTATTAAGACCTTAAAAGGCGGCATATTTTAGAATTATCCAAAAGTATTATTTTGTATATGTTTTTATTTGCTGTTTTCTTTGAAAATTTGTGATGTGAAAAGAATGCTCTATATTTCATTAAAAGAAATAATAAAAAATTTTCAAAACAACTTTAATATTCAGAAATATCTCATATCCTGATAAAAATAAACCTTCTGTTTTTATCTGGCAGCCTACAAGGCAGTTAAGTTGTCTGTAATAGAAATTGAAAATTTTCAAATCATAAGTTGTCTGTAATAGAAATTGAAAATTTTCAAATCATAAGTTGTCTGTAATAAAAATTGAAAATTTTCAAATCATATACTATCTCCATGAAATATCAGATATACTGTTTGAAAGTATTTTTATTGGGTACTTTTTGTTCTTGAAACTCTTTATTATAATTATACGTTATATCCATTATTTCCAAAAATCTCAAGTGTTTATATCATAATTTGTAGTATTTTTTAAAAATTTATTTTGAGAATATAATAGTTTGGAGCAATTAAAACTAGACTCTGTATATGTTTGTATGTGATCGTGTTAGGCAGATCAGGTTTACTATACTTTTTATTTAACATGAAATTGATTTTATGTTTCCTAAGTCGTATGGTGTTATTTATATTTTTAACTGTCTTGATTCTTTGCATGTGTAAAGAGTTATTTTATGTAAAGTATATACAGTCAAAAGTCGTTAATTCAGACACCCATAATACGGAATGATCTATAATCTGGACTTCAAAGCTACAAACTTTCTGCGCATGCGTCAGTTCGACGCATGCTCGTAACACCTTTACGGCTGCAAATATGCGTGTGCGCATGCGCAAAATACGTGTTTAATGTATAACGGACGGTATAAGCTAAGCTAAAATTACCTAATTCAGTTAATGTTGCAGATTGCGATGTTCCTTAATCTTCGAATTGGATCCGGCTTATTATTTTTTGCAGACTGTTACAGCAATTTTATAAAAGTAAGCTTGAACTTTCAATTATGTCAAATAGAATTTCCGATATATATTTACTAATATGTAAAGAATCTACAAAGAAAAAGTATGTTTCGAAGTCCATTAAACAAAAGTGGAATTGCTGCAAAAAATGACCTAACCATTCCGAAATCTGTTTATCAATTTCACGCTGCTCTGCGGTGGGGGAAACGCCGCGGCACACAATTGTCAGCACTATCCTTATCTTCAGGGCAGATGTTTTCATTTTATTTGGCTTATAATTCTTTACTAAATGTAGTATTTCATCTCGATGTATTCCGTCTTTGTTATGATTTAAATCAAATTCCTCGTCATTATAATTTGCTTCCGATAGTGAAGAAAGACACAGAGGTTATTGAAAACGAAAAAATTTCGATTGACAAATTAGTCCGTATTCTCGACACAGCAATTATAGGACTTGAATAGCAGAACTTTGTAACTGAACAAGAAATTATGTCTGTTTATAGAATTAAAGAGAAAATATTATCACATAAAACGAAGCAACTTAAACAACTTACATAGAAAGAAATGTTTAATAAAGTAAACAAATAAATATTAAGCTTTTTTTTTTTTTGTAAATTTTGATACCCTTTAGATCATAATTGTTCTTTAGTTCATAAATTATGGTTTCATATTTTTAATTTTATAATTTCTACATGCCATCTTACCAGATTTAAACCGATGATCTATAATCTGGGAAAATCGATAATCCGGAATCGCCTAAGTCCCGACGAGTCCGGATTAACGACTTTTGACTGTATATGATAACATCTTTGAAGTGCTTTCATAGGCTTCCTGGGAGATTTTGATATTAAAATTTCCAAATTTATAAACAAGAGACCTGTAAAGTCTGCTGTATAAACCTTAATAATTTCTTTTATAGTCATTCATATCGAGATTCAAATATGGATGCTTTCGGCCTTATAATAGGAAATATATAAGCAGCAATAGCTGTCTGTTTTTAAAATTTCATATTGTTAGGAATTTAATGCATGAATAGGAAAACAACTTTGATGCAGAAGATATTTGCAAGCTATTTTCTGGAAGAAATTTTTGGTTTAAAGTTTTTTAACTAAGCAAAGCTATTAATTTATTTCTGTCTGAATTTTATTTAAAAAAAAAAACAAGTAAAGTTTCCCCACGTTCCCCCCCCCCTTTTTTTGAGAGAGAGAGATAGCATTTGGGCTAATGCCTCTTTAGGCTAAAAATATTTAAAAACAGCACATCTTCAGAATTTCTGATGGACAGTCTCGTTTGCTGAAGATGTAATTTTTTTCCGTGCAGTGTTACCAATGCTTGCTTTGAAACTGTTGAGTTTGTTAATCAACAATTTGTTAAAATTTTACAAAATATGAAATACATAAAAGAAATTCCAAATTCAGGCTTCTAGATGCCCATAATCAGTTGGAGAACTACATTGGGAAACATACATACATTCATGCAGTTTCTTCATTGTTTAATTTTTTTTAAATATAATATAGAATGATAATATTTGGTGGCAACAATTTGAACAGTGAAACGGTCATTTATTGTGAACCGACGCAAAATGCTATTTCGAAATGACTACTAGTATTTCTGGACTAACACTTGTGGCACAAATAAGGGTATGCAAAGAGAGCCGTCGTATAGGGGCCCGAAGGCTTAGAGGGCCCTTGAATGTCCTGCTGAACTATGTTTAGATACAGTCAAAAGTTTTTAATCCGGACTCGTCCTGACTTCGGCGATTCCGCATTATCGGTTTTTCCGGACTATAGATCATCAGTTTAAATCTGGTAAGATGGCATGCAGAAATTATAAAATTAAAAATATGAAACCGTAATTTATGAAATAAGGAGCAATTATGATCTAAAGGGTATCAAAAGTTGCAAAAAAAAGGCTTAATATTTATGTGTTTACTTTATTAAACATTTCTTTCAATATAAGTTAATTAAGTACTTCGTTTATGTGCTAATACTTTCTCTTTAATTCTATAAAGAGACATAATTTCTTATTCAGTTACAAAGTTCCGCTGTTTTGAAATATTTTGATTTATGGATAATGTTTGCCAGTCCTGTATTACTGTTCAGACGTGGTCAACAGTAATACATTACTGGCAAACATTATCCATAATGGAAAAAAAAAAAAAAAAAGCACGTGAGAAAAGTTCTCATCATATCGCAAGCTGTAAGCAAATAACTGTGTTGGTCAAGTATGGGATTTGTAAAAGATGAAATCAATTTTAGTTTTAGAGAGATTAAATCCCGATAGCTTTAGCAAAAAAAAAAAAACAATGGTTACATATGCATAGCTGATTTTTTATCTGATGTCACATTATTGGAAGAATATGACATCGTGATGAATGACGTTATAGAAATGCTCTCAAGCGCTGTTAAATATTTGAATTCTGCAACATAAAAGGAGTTAATTGATTGTTTAACCCCTTCGAGCTGGGTAGCGAAAACGCGCGCTTATCGCGGATGCCGGCAGTGTCTTCCGCGAGCGTCTCTCCAGGGCCGGGGGCTTTTTTGCTACTAAGCCTAAATCCATGAAATTTCCGAAGTATCAACGCATTGTTTAATAATGCTCTATAGAGTATTTAAACGGCTTCTGCTTTATAGATATTTTTATATATATACTTTAATTATCTTATTTCTTGTTTAAATGCATATTTTACACATTTTATTTTAATTACTCACCATTTTATGACTTTTAACATTATACATCTGAAAACTAAATATATTAAAATTCTCTTTTTGTATGAAAAATTTGAAAACAGGGATCTACAGACAGTCCTACGTTACATTCCTTGAACTCGTAATAACTCATTTGCCGTTTTGGAGGATTTTCCCGGGAACGTGAACAAACAAAGCATCATCGTCTCATTTTCTTATCAGTCTCTTCTGAACAAAGTTTTGGAAAATGTCTTTCAGTTAATCTTTCAGAATCAATATCAGAATTTCAGAATCAATATCTGAAATATTTTGCATCATTTCTGCTATTTCATGCTCTGTTAAACATTTTCGACGCTTCAACATTGAAACGGTAAAAACAGAAAGAATTCACGTCTAACAAGATCTAATTATTTTCTAAAAACTGAACTGTAAACGGAAATACTCAACACTTTAGCTCATATAAAACTTCTACTTACAATAAACAACTACCACGTGCGAATAAAGTGCGATTTACAGAGACGTCATAAATCACACCATTCGGAAACATTTAGTTCCCCGTTTGTTTATATAATCAAAAGCACGTGTATGTGAGTCATGCTTCTCTCATTTCGAGTAGAAGGTCTAATGTACATGTATCTGAAACCATATGGACATACAGTGCCATCTTATGGCAGAAATTATAGTTTGAAAAACGTTCCAAGGTACTGGCACAAATACGTGACAGTTGGTAGAAAACGCAACAATGCTCTGGCACGCCTGCGTGTCAGCCGGTAGATAAGTGTGTTCGTTGCTGGCACGTATACGTGACAATCGGCCCGAAGGGGTTAAGTAGTACAGTCAAAAGTCATTAATTCGGACACCCTTAATCCGGAATGATCTATAATCCGGACCTCAAAGCTAAAAACTTTCTGCGCATGCGCCGCGTTGCCACATGTGTATAGGCGTTTACACGTGCGCGTAAGACCTTTATGACTGATATGCATGTGCGCAAACGCAGAATACGTTTTCGCGTGCGCGTTTAATGTATAACGGACGGTATAAGCTAAAATTATCTAATTATCTATTTCAGTTAATGTTGATGATTGCGTTGTTCCTCAATCTTCGAATTGGATCCAGCTTATTATTTTTCGTAGACTGTAAGAGCAATTTTATAAAAGTAAACTTTAACTTTCGATTATGTTAAATAGAATTTCCGATGCTGGAGCTCCCAAAGGATCTACAAAACGAAAGTATGTTTTGATGTCCATCAAACAAAAAGTGGAATTGCTGCAAAAAATGGATAAAGACATGAAGAAGGTGACAGAGAGGTTAGTGAAAACGAAAAAATTTCGATTGACACATTAGTCGGTATTCTTGGCACAGCAATTACGGGACTTGAACAGCGGAACTTTGTAACTGAACAAGAAATTATGTATGTTTATAGAATTAAAGAGAAAGTATTATCACATAAAACGAAGCAACTTAAACAACTTACATTGAAACAAATGTTTAATAAAGTAAACAAATAAATATTTAGTTTTTTTTTTTTTTTTTTTTTTTTTTTTTTTTTTTTTTTTTTTTTTGTGTGTGTGTGTGTGTGTGTGTGTGTGTAAATTTAAATACCCTTTAGATCATAATTGTTCTTTATTTCATAAATTACAGTTTCATATTTTTAATTTTAGAATTTCTGCATGCCATCTTACGAAATTTAAACTGATGATCGATAATCCGGAATCGCCGAAGTCCCGACGGGTCCAGATTAACGACTTTTGACTGTATTTGTTTGAAAACAAAGCATTTGGATGAAATTAAAAATTTTTTTTTATTTCTTTGTACGAATATCGCGTGCAAAGTAATCATAATCACAAAAAACTTCTGTTATCATATTTCAATAGAAATATCCATTTTCACCATTCCCGAATCCATCTGAGGCCCACCAGCGGCTGAGCGGTAAAGTCGCTGAACGCTGGTAGTTTGATCGGAAGCCCAAATCCCCCGAGCAGCCCGGCAGCATGGGCCTTTTTAGTTTTTCCCCATGTGTAACATGTATACGAGCCAGTTTCCCTTAGAAAGATCTCCACAAAGGCTCCCTTTTCCTAGGAAAATAGCCCTCGAGGCTTTGCCGTAATTGCATAAACCAAACCGAATCCATTTTTTTCTTGTTTTTTTTGGGGGGGGAGGTGGCGACATCTGTACGTACAGACAAAATAAAGTACTCTTTTTTTTTCTTTTTCTTTCCCCCCCCAAAAAGGATTGCAAAAGGGATTTTTTCTGGATATTTGTATGTATATATGTATGTATGCACATATTTGTTTATACAGGCATTGCATAACCCAAAAACGATTAGCTCTAGAGTGTTGAAATTTTGCACATGGAGTTGCTATAATATCCATTTGTGAACCTCTCTATTTATTGCAATTGGCCCTAGATTTCTAGTTATGCCACTGACTAACACCCTTTGGGCTAAAAAAAGACTTAATCGGTAATATAATAGGAAAATGCCTTCAGAAGCAAGAATACCAGTAGTTGATATTGTTATGGGAAGGAGGAAGATATATCAATACTAATATTTCTTCAACCCTAAGATATCCAGTATTTTTTCTGTGGAAAAAATCAACAAAATATTTTAAGTATATCTGAGAAATATTTTAAGTATATCTGAGAAATATGTTTACTTGAACAGAGTTTCATTCACTAGCACTAGTAGTTTTTTATAAGTAAATATAATACCCAACATTTTTTTCTAATATGGTATATCAGACTCGTAATCATCCAAGTTGTCAATACCTGCATATTAATTGGTATCTGAGTCTACATCATATTCCAAGTAAAATTTTCCAGAACTATGTCTGTTTTCATCATCCTTTATCTCTTGAGCCATCAAGGATGTTGGTATTGCTGTATGTTTAAATGAATAAAATATATAAAAATATTCATTGATGGCTGAATCTAGAAAAAGTAAGGAAGGTAAAGGGAAAAACTGTAATTTTTAAGGTCTGATATTTAGAGATATATAATATATGTAATGATTTCAATGTGTAGTCATGATAACAGAGTGGCAAGATGGGACGAAGATGTTAATACCAAATCAAGGTCAGCTAATCTTTATTTCCAATCGCATTAGAATAACTCTTCTAATATATTTTTTTATCATAAGCAATTACAATAGTTTCTTATATACACAGATTAACAGTGCGATATCATTTTAGACGGACAAGCAAAGCAGTATGTATGTTGGCATGATGGAAACTAGGAAAAGAATGGAATGAAATGACATAATTAATTCACTAGCGGTATTTATACTAAGTCTCATGTAATTGTAGAGCCAAGATATGTTTGGTTAACTTGAGGTTGTTGCATAACATAGAAGGATCTTGAATCTTGAATTTGGGAGAACAGATGAATTTGGGGGGAGAGCACCAAATCTAGAATGGTTAATTTTGAGGTCGCAAATTATTTTTAAAGCAGCTATCGTATTTTCACATATCTTATATATATATATATATGTATAGATAGATAGATAGATAGATATAGAAGCATATATATATATAGCAAGCAAGAGAGAGAGAGAGAAAGTGTGTTATATAGTCAAAGAAGTGTGGTAGTGTGACAATAGCACCTTTTATACTGTATTGAAATTTTTTTTATCTGAAGAATTATGTTAATAGAATTTTAAAAGTGTTAGGAAGGATAATGCAGTCCTTCCTAAAGCTTTTAAAATTCTATTAACATAATTCTTGGTTATTATTTTTGCCGATAGATGGCATTGCCTCCTCGCGCATGCTAGTACCGGAGGGTATAAAAAGCTGTTACAGAGGTTGCCTTCCCTTTCTAGTTATTTTGTTTTCCCAATGAAGAGGAACCTCTAGCTGCCTTCGAAATTGATTGTTTTAATAAATGTACGCAAAATACAAGGTTGTTATTGAGATTTTGATTGTCACATTGGCGTGTTTCTATTCTATTCTATATTTAACTGTATTTAGTTATTATAAAATTCTGACATAAAATTTTTTTTAATATTTTTGATATTTTTAATCATTACTCTTAAAAGATTATTTTAATTTCAGAGGAATTAAAAGGTGAATTTGCTGATCCCTTAAATGCTGCAGCCTTTTCATCTGAAAAATGCTTCTATTCCTTGCCTTGGCCAAATCTTTCTGCATCAGTTTCTAAACTTAGAGCTATCGGCTGCTTTTTTTCAACTTTTCAGGAAGGCTTTTTATATGACATTACAAATGAAATTCATCTAGTCGGTTCTTATGCTTATACTTCTTCTCTGAAGGGTGTTGTTCTAGAAACGTCTTTATTACATGCACTAACTGAGACAGGTCTGGAAACATATACTATGCATCTGCCTCATTCAGCACTGCATCATATTGAAACTGTAGATGGAATAAAAAATGTAAGTATTTCTTTTCATCATTTTTTAATGTAATAGTATTTATTTTAAACCTACCATGTAAATGCCATTGTTTATCCGATGGAATATATAAAGCTCTGTTAAGGTGTTAAGTAGAGTGAATGCCCTTTATTACAAACTGCTTATTATAGTAATAGTTACATTACAACAATTGGTACCAAAGTTCTAGATTTATTACTCTTTAGACTGGCTTCATCTGTCAGATTAATTCTGTAAAGATGTAAACTTACTTGAATTTAACATAAGTGACAAGAACTAAACAACAAACTCATTGCATTTCATTTGAAAGTTACAAAATTAAACTAATATGAAAAACTGAGTAGCTGTGGTAGAGAATTTTATATATATGTGGAAAAGCATATATAGTTTCACATTATTGTTATGTTTAGTGGCTTTCAATACCGATTTAGCGTTGTCTCTCCTGCTCTTAAGTGGTATGCTACCTTTCTTGGGGGAATATTTTATTTTACACACTAACGTCACATAACATAACATGGAACCCAAAGATACTAGAGCATTGACCACTTACACTTAGAAATACTAATGTTCACTTCGAAATTCCATTCACTTAGAAATACTAATGTTACCATTCAATTCGTAGTACTACATAAATAAAAATTACCGTTCAACACTCTTTCTCTTAATTTTATGTCTTTTACTAAATTCAAAAAGTAGAAGAATAGTAGAGAAAATACAACAAAAAGAAAGTAGTATTTTCTCTACTATTCTATTCGTAGTACTACATAAATAAAAGTTACCGTTCAACACTCTTTCTCTTAATTTTATGTCGTTTACTAAATTCAAAAAGTTAAATCAAGTTAACATTCTGATGTTTGATTTTAGTTTGTACATTCTTAGTTAGCAAAAACATGTTTATAAGTTAACAAAGTTATGAAAGCTAAGTTAATATTGCCTTCTTTAATATTTTTGTTTATTTGTTTGTTTGTTTGTTTGTCAAAAAAAATACCTTCCTTCATATGTTTACTTTTTCTATTAAAAAAACCCCATTCTTAATCAATTTAAATGTGTTTTGATTCTAAATATTTATATTAGTTGTAACAATTTTATGATTTTTTCTTCAAAAATGTTTTTAAATGTGAAAGTTCTTTAACACAGTCTACTGCTGCTATGTACTTAACTTCTGTATTTTATAAAACAAGTATTGATTGTATTTCATACTGCAACTCGCAGGATTTCCTTCATGAAGAATCGCATATCTGATTGTGCTTCTGTGGGTTTATTTATCACCTCTATAATCTGTACCATAGAAAACTTTGACTTTCCTGTTGAAGTAGAACAGTTCTCTGAACATTTATAATGAAGACCAAAATGTCAGGACTTAGAAAAGAAGGTCTAGTTTATAGAGCTTTTCTCTCTGAAGCTGGAAGTGAGGAGTGATGACATAGTCATGTTGACACTGACTGCAATGACACAGCTCGCAAAGGAAACAAACGTTTTAAATTTGAAAAAAAAAATAACTGTACATTGAAACTGTACTGTACATTGAAAAGTAGCTTTAATTTAGGGAAATTAAAAAAACTGTACATTGAAAAATAGCTTTAAGTTAGGGAGAAAAAATATTTTTACTATGAGCATTTGTAACGTTTAAAAAGTGATAGATTATACATGCTAGGTTTTCTTAAAAGCTGCAGGTTTTTCCTCCTGTGCATTTATTATTAAATCATGAAGGGAAAACTGTAGCATTCATTATCTTTTCTCCATCTGCATACTAAGTGGGAGAGTTCTTCTAGTTAACCCCCCCAAAAAAAAACTTAATTTGGCATTGTTTTGAATTTATATTGGTCCCCCCCCTTGCAGTCAAAGAAGAACTTATGTTTGACTGCCCTTGAAATCAATAGTTTATTCAAAATTTAATCTAATCTAAGACTGCTTTTTTTTTTACATAATTATAAATTTTACATTTTACAGTATTTATTTATGTTTATTCATATCAGATCTCACAATCAAAAATATCGACCATTATTTCTTGTTTTCCATTGTGACTTAAGGCTGCCACTCCTTTTAAACTCGATTTGAAGGAAAACTTGATGATGACTTTATAAATCGATGGAAGCAAAGCAATGCTACACAACCCCTTCCCTGTGATAGCTATTATGAAAGATAATCTTTTAAAGTTACTGAGGAACTTCACATATCTGCTGGTTCTGGTAGTCTTGGTTTCATGCTGAGTCTTTGAATTTTCTTCAGTAGCCTTGAATTCAGGTGTTTCCCCAAGTTCTGTTTTCTTGGAATGTGATTCTTGGAAAGGAATACCTGTTTCTTTCATTAGAAAACATGATTTTACTCTGTTGATTGAAACTCTTTTAACTTTTCCCTGAATTTCGGTATCGACATGCTTATCCTTTCTTGTTCTTACAGGATATGGTCCAAGATAGACAGGCTGTTGTGAAGCATTGTTGATTTTGTTGTATGGGAATGCATGAGAATAGTTGGAAAGTTGTTTAAAAACAAAGATTGTTCTATTTTCATGGGTTGTGGTAGATTTTGACTTTATATCTCTTATTATTTTCTGAAGGATTTAAGAAAATTCAAACTGTGTCATGTGAGGTACTATTAAAAGGAATTCTGGTAATGCTGAGGGGGTTCCGTGTACAAGTTCTGCTGATGAGCAACTCAAGTCTTCTTTGGCAGCAGATGTTATGCCTAAAAGAATAGAAGGCTATATTATATGATTTTGATTCCAGAAAGTAATGTTTTAGGCTTGCTTTTAAAGTTTTTGTTATCTTTCTATCAAGCCATTTGCCTGCAGATGATACGCAATTGTAATTATTTGTACAAAAACCAAGATATTTTCCGAAGGCTTAAAAAAGTTGGCTATCAAATTGATGTCTTTGGTTATGCGTTATGTGATTTGGAATTCCAAGATATTAAAAGGTATAAACAAAAGCTTTAATGATTGAAACCATTGTATAAAACAGTCGATGATAGAAGATATTTAAATCCTTTGCAGATGAATAATGGACCAACCAAATGTATGTTTAATTGCCGGACCATTTAATTGCTGGACTCTGTGTCTAGGTACATTAAATTCTAAGTTGACTGTGTATATCTACAAACTGTTGACCGTTGACATGATAAACAGGCTGTAGTCCATAGCTGGCAGTCTTTATTCATGCTGGGCCATATGAAATGTTTTGTTATCAATTTTATTATGGAATTTATTCCAAGATGATGGCACAATAAATTGATGTGACCGAAGCGACACTACAAAATGGGACAGTAATAATTATTTATTTATTACTAATGGGTAGAATCCATGTCTTAAAAAACACATTTTAAATTAGAATTTTATGCATTTAATAAAAATATGCTGCATAGGAAAATAAATTTTAGGATGAAAAATGACTTTAATTTTTATTTTTAAAACATTATCATCTTAGATTTATTTAAAAACTCATTTCCTATTCATATCTCAAAAACAAAATAGCTATGGATGATTTCTACATAACCTACAAACTTCCATATTTTTACTGATGAATTCAACCTCAACAGAATTAAATATTTGTATCTCAATTTAACTTCAAAAATTGATTATTCTAAATCTTATGTTTGTATACAAGTATAATTTGCTTTAGGGGGAAGTCTTTGATGATAATATCCAGTGGCCCTTTCAATTATAAGCAAATGTTTGTTTAAAGCTATATTATGCAGTAAATGCCACAAAATATCTTTGGACGAAAACATCTTCAGAATCATTTTTATTCGTTGCATTTGGTACATACAGAAACAAAGAGAAAATTATTGTAAATTCTAGCAAATTTTGACGCTGTTAAACATTTCTGTAGTAGAAGAGAGCAAGCTTTATTTACAATATTTTTGTCATATTTGAAATATTCAGAAGTATTAAATGCATATGTGACACAAGTTTCAAATCTGAAAATAAATTTTGCATATAAAAAGAAATTAAGTGAAACGGCAGATGATTCTCAGTAAAAGTTTATTTAAAAATTCCAAGTTTAAAATAACTGGTACAGTTCATTAAAGATTTTAACCATATTTGGTGTAAGTCTGTGATCTATATTTGGTGCTATTATCGATTATAACAAATATAACAAATTTCAAAATGTGTCAATGTATAAATTCACATATATCTTCGAAAGTTTTAAATAAAAAACTCTAAATGCATACTTGTATACCTGGAAATATATCTGTACGTGGTAAAAACTATATAATTCAAAATATTTTTTTAATTAATTAAAATTATTTAATTAATATTCAATTCAATTAACATTGTGGGGTTAAAATTGGGAAAGCTAATTTAAAAAAATTATTACTGCAGCCGATTTTTACAAAACGTGGCATGCTGCCATAATTTTAAGTGCAGAATCGAAATATAGAAAAAAGTCAGTATGTCATTCCAGAAAATGTCCAATTTTGTGTCAAAATACCTTATGTTAAAACAGTGCTATATGTATAAATGTAATGTATCTTCACTCGGGCTTTTGAGACATATAAAGGCAGGTTGAATTTAGTGATCAGCTGACTACAGCAGGAATTAGTGAACTGTAATGTCTTTTTTAGAGGGGGGCTCATTCTATATGATTATGCTGTACTGTCTCCATACCAACAAATTGCTAATATGTGCTCTGATGCCTGAAGCAGCAAGGGAGACAAGGATGAAGTTGTATGAACAACTTTTAGAGCGCTAAAATCTCTACTATTTCCACATTATTGTTATGGAAGGTGAATTTTTTCTTTCTTTATCATGCAGATAAATAATGCTAATAATGCCCTAGAAAGTTTCATTACAAATTTTTAAATGAGTAGAAAAAAATTTTAAATGGGCTCTATGCAGACCACTGATTCTAATTGCACACGTCTACCCTAATATAGTAATAAATATTTTGGTAATTAACATTTTATTATTAGGAGTGACCTTTTTTTTTTTTTTTTTTTTTTAGGTACTACCAAATTATGAAGATTCTGTCTGCCTTATGGGATTACGTCCTTTTCTAGGAGTAGATCATTTAGTGATGTCTGAGAATTATTTAATACTTGTTTCATCTCTAGAAGACTCAGTTTCGAATTCAGAGTATGTTTAAAATATCCTGCTATTGTGATATTAGCTTAAATATCTATGTATAATGTTTTTGCATGTATCAAATTAGTTTATTTTGCAACTGTCAGTTTGAATATGTGTATGCTTTTAATATATTTTAAATAAACTCTTCTTTTAGTAATTCTAAAATACTTAAAACTTTCATATTATATTTTTTATATAGAGTGGATGGTGGAAACAAATCTACTCTGTATTCCCTTAAGAAACCAGTTGCTGTTCAAGTTTTTTCTGATTTGGTAAATTTATATATTTCTGTATCATATTTTAGATGCTATAGTAAGGAGTAATACTATTTAGTAATTTCATATAACTGTTTTGTAAACCTTTTTTTATTATATTTTATTTATTTTATTCTTCAATTTTTTATCATGTTTCAGACTAAAGGTTTTTAATTGCAGAAAACTGATTATTCTCATTTAATTTTTTGAAATTATCTAGATTACAGCTTAAATAGAATCTAGACTATCTATCTTGAACTACTTTTCTCAAAAAGAAATTTTCTCATGTTTTGAGTTTACTTGTAATAAGTTTAACCTTTTCCCACGAGCTATAAATGTGAATTTTCTACATATTGTAGCCAGTTAATCAGCGCTATGACAGAAAAAGATGATCTGCCATTTCATACTCTGCATTAAGTAGCAAATTTTAAATCTATGCACTAGAATAAATTTCTTTGAAATTAAATTTCTTTTTTATAATGTCAAGAATGCATGGGCCATATATATCCCAGCTCTCAGGAAAAGTTTAAATTCAATGCATTTTCTTGCTTGATTATTTTCATCAAAACTCATGTATTTCTAATTATTTTCATCAAAACTCATGTATCTAAAATTATTTAATTTAAGATCAGTTAAAAATTTAAAACTCAGCAGTGTAGCCACATCCTTCAGCTACACAATCTCCAGCTGAGAAACTTCCTTTCCGTGGCAGTTTGTATATCAGCACACCACATAGGTAGTAGATGGAGCAGGTGCACTTTACATATTTTTTCAGAAAACATAAAGTAGACTGTTCCTCTCTTTGTTCTTTTTAGTAGGCACTGAAAATTTCAGACTATGATTATTGAAGCAAGGATAAGTGATAAGCAGTTGGTCAGGTTTACCAATCTTCTCATGGAAATCACTTCACTTAAATTACAAAATTCAAAGGGATTGAAAATGTGGAAAATTTTTTTGTTGTGATTTGTTTTTTTGTATGCCACATTAATAGATGCAAACAGGGTACATAAAAAGAAGTTTATTGTTATTGCAGTTGGCAAGAAAAGAAATCATAAATTTTTAGACAGATGTCTTTTGTAGAAAAGTAATGAAGTTATAACCAAGTTTGACATTATATTGATCATAAAAAAAAAGATATTTAATGAGAAAACTTTGACAGCAAAATAGCTGAAAATGTTTCGTTTGTGGATATAAAAAAGAGTTTAAAATAGTAAATAATTATAAATTAATATTGAAATATAAAAAACAGTTACAAAACATTATTTGTAGATTTAGCTTTTTGATAACTATTATGATTTGATGGTATTTAATCACTTTAAGTTATCTAGAACTCATATACATGTTTCTACTAGTTTTAGAACTTAATTTATTCAACTAATTCCAATGAAGCTGTAATGTTACAAATAGCAAATATATTGCAAATACAGTCAAAAGTCGTTAATCCGGACTCGTCGGGACTTCGGCGATTCCGGATTATCGATTTTTCCGGATTATAGATCATCAGTTTAAATCTCGTAAGATGGCATGCAGAAATTCTAAAATTAAAAGTATGAAACCGTAATTTATGAAATAAAGAACAATTATGATCTAAAGGGTATCAAAATTTGCAAAAAGAAAAAGCTTAATATTATTTGTTTACTTTATTAAACATTTCTTTCAATGTAAGTTGTTTAAGTTTTGCTTCGTTTCATGTGATAATACTTTCTCTTTAATTCTATTACACAGACATAATTTCTTGTTCAGTTACAAAGTTCCGCTGTTCAAGTCCTATAATTGTTGTGTCGAGAACACCGACTAATTTGTCAATCGAAATTTTTTCGTTTTCAATAACCTCTGTCATTTTCTTCGCTATCGGAAGCGAATTATAATGACGAGGAACTTGTTTTAAATCATATCAAAGACGGAGCATATCGAGATGAAGTACTACATTTGGTAAGGAATTATAAGCCAAATAAAATAAAAACATCTGCGCTGAAGATAAGGATAGTGCTGACAGATCAACTTCCAATTCATTACGCGCCCGCCGCGGCGTTCCCCCCGCCGAGCAGCGTGAAATTAATAAACAGATTTCGGATTTTAAAACATACTTTCGCTTTAGATCCTTTACATATTAACAAATATATATCGGAAATTCTATTTGATATAATCGAAAGTTTAAGCTTACTTTTATAAAATTGCTCTTACAGTCTGCAAAAAATAATAAGCCCGATCCAATTCGAAAATTAAGAAACAACGCAATCATCAACATTAACTGAAATAGATAATTAGATAATTTTAGCTTATACGTCCATTATACATAAAACGCGCACGCGAAAACGTATTCTACACTTGTGCACACTCATATGCGCAGTCGTAAAAAGGTCTTACGCGCATGCGTAAACGCCTATGCGCATGTGTTAACGCGGCGCATGCGCAGAAAGTTTTCAGTTTTGAGGTCCAGATTATAGATCATTCCGAGTTATGGGTGTCCGAATTAACGACTTTTGACTGTATATCTAGTGAATGTGAAATGAATTCCTAGAAATCTCATAGAAGATCAGATACAAAGATGAGCACAAGCATTTTTAAATATTTGAAATGATTCTATATTTCTTAACCTCAGTTGTTAAAAAAATGGTTAAGAAAACCAGAATGGTGTGACAAAAGGTGATATCATTCTATAACAAACAAAAGGTAGGTTCATCAGTATGACCTATAATCAAAATAGTGGTCAAATGTTTGAAAACATGTAATTCATCATTGCTGAACAAATTCTATTCATCTTTCTCAGCAGATAAAGTCTTGCTTTAGCTGTTCTTTGATGTTTACGGGATGATTTTACACCACATTGTGTTCCCTATGACAGATAATAAAAGGTTACTATTACTCAAACATTCTGAAAACCCATTTCCATGGTGTCATAAGAAAAACAAAAATGGGGGTTTGTCAAGAAGCTGTCAGAAAAGAAAACTGGCATCATCAAGAGACTGTCATTTTTGCCCCAAGCGTCCAATCATACATTGGGTCAATCATTCATTAAGAAACAGTCAGTTTCAAAGTGAAAAACATTACATTACAACTGTAGTGCTAAAAGGAAAGTAAAAAAATAGTTTATTTGGTACTTACGTATTAACGCAACCAGGCCAAAATTCGCATAAATCGCCAAATTTGGCGACCCTACTTACGGCAACCCTACGTATAGACGGAAGTTTATTTGTAAAAAGAAAAAATAACACTGGGCATGTACTACCACAGCAATGGGTTTTCGGCGGAATTTGCAGAGAAAAGAAAGAGACTTTTTTGGTTACTGTAACTAACAGAAGTGCCGTTACCCTCATGGAATAAATTTGTGAAAATATCAAGGAAGGAAGCATCATTTATTCGGATTGCTGGAAAGGATACAATACAAGTGAGTTCGAAAATGCTGGATTTCTGCATGGAACTGTTAATGACAAATATAACTTTGTGGATCCCAACACGGGCCTTCACACACAACATGTAGAGCGCATGTGGGGCTCAGCCAAATGGCGCAACAAAAAACGGAGAGGAACAGCCCATCATCATCTTGACTCATACCTTATTGAATTTATATGGTGCCAAGCTGAAGCTGTTAATGGCGAAGACGGTTTTCAATCAGTGCTAAAAGCAATAGCCAAAAGATTTCCGCCGAAAAAATAATTCTGCAACTTATTATTCAATTCGAAACCGGAAGGGTTTAATTGCTATTTTATATTTTAAAACAAAATAATATAAAAAAACTGTATTAAAAATTATCTGTAATTAATAATAAATGTACATTTTCTTTCTATTCATACTTTTTTACTCAAACTTACAAATCGCGCCAACCTGGTTGCGATAATACGTAAGTACCGTTTATTTTATGTACTTGAATTATTTATAAAATGCTGTAAAAATGTGTTTAGAGTGAAGAATGCTAGTTTGGAAAAGAATTTTTTTTTTTTTTTTTTTTTTTTTTTTTTTTTTTAATTCTGGGTAAACAAATCTTAATTAAAACTTTTTATGCATACTTCGTATTTTTAGTGTTATAATAATTTTAAACTTAAAATCTTAAATGGTTGTTTGGACTGAACCTACTAGCCTAACATAGGCTATATAGAGATAAATTATTGCCAGTCCAAGAACAAAGAACTGACAACTGAATAAGTAATAACGTATAAGGTATTCCTCCCGCCTTCTTAGTGAGCCTTCGTTGTGTAGTGGTCTGCACGCTGAGCGCGTAATTGAGAGGTCCGCAGTTCGATTCCTGGCGAAGGTGTTGTATATTTTTCATCTTGCCTGCTTCCAAAATATACTTAATGTCTCTGCAAACTAAAATTTTATTTTCGATCCCACTTTATGGTACACAAATCACAGCACAAGCTGAAGAATTTCCAGCTTTCATATAATTACCACAGCTAGTCTAAAGCTGCTAACAATTACAGTTAAACTATCTAATACCTAAAAATGCTCTGCCTCTAGCTGCATAAAATCTATTTCAGTCTCCAATTACCTGTTATCATTGTTAATAAATAATAGTGGTTAGGGAACAACGCTGGGAAAATCTCATATCAGGTATTTCATAAGGCAAGACCTTTTATTTTGTATATGAAAATAAATTTTTGTTCTTTAACCCTTTGATGGTTATGAATGAATTCAGCTCGCAATCGAATCATGCTTCATAATGCGCGCAAACGAGTTCCGCTCGGGAGCAAGATTTTGACCAAAATGGTTAGTAACGAGCGCTACTCGCGTAGTGAAATTTTTCCCCAATACGCGCTGACGAGCTGACTTCGTTCGCCATTATTATTCTGCACTGATTGTGTTTCAAACGAATTATTAAACGAATTTAGTTAGTTTTACTGTCTACAGATGGCAGTACGAGTTCCATGAATTTCTTTGCATAATGAAAGTGGATTTTTTTTTTTTTTTTTTTTTTTTGACCTTGTTCATTTTATACGTATTTTGGCGTGGTTTTTAGGGTATTTGTACAGTAAAATGGCTCAAAAGCGAAAGTTAGATAGTTATGATGATGATTATGATTGTGATACAGAAAGCTTATCAAGTTTTGAATCTGATGAAGACTTTGTTCACAGTATTTCAAGCTCAGAAGACGATTCAAGCGATGAGGAAGATTTTTTGAGTGTTCGACAGTGATGTATAATTGATTCAAGTTCTCACGCTCCTAGCCGATTTAGTTTTACTGGTGATGTAGGCATGACAGCTTGCATGACAAATATTTCTGATCCACTAGAGTATTTTGAGCTGTTTTTTACTGATGAGATTATAAATTGTATTGTTACGGAAACCAATATTTTTGCTGCTGAAAATTTAAATAAATTTAAGAGCAAAGAATACTATGATGTAACCCGATCTCGACAAAGGAAATATTACAAGAAAATATTTCGTTATTTATTGGACATAACAATTTTTAATGCTTTTCAGCTGTGGAAAAAAAAGGGGAATAAAAAATCAAATTTGGAATTCAGAATTGAACTAGCTGAAAGAATTGTTGAGAAATATCACACTCATAGACATTTGAAATTAAAACCTGCTGAAACAGTTTCGAATACTTTAAGATTGTCAGCACGCCACTTTCCTGATTATATTCCACCTACAGAAAAAAAAATAAAAAGAAAGAACCTACTAGACGATGTGTGGTATGTTGCAGCAAAAATGATGCTAATGGAAAAAGAATTCGCCGTGAAACACGTACGTATTGCAAAGACTGTAATGCCCCATTATGTGCAATTCCATGTTTTAAAGTATATCATCGCACACAAAAAGATTTTTAGGTAATTACTGTATTTAATTGCGGTTCTTCATAAAGTTTTACATTAGTTGTATTTATTTAGTCCTTTCAATTTAATATTTGTCTTATATTTATAATTAACTATTATTATTTATATAATTGGTTATAATCATTTATAATTTACTGTTTAATAATTATTTTAAAGTACGTAAAAACTGTTATTTATGTACTACAAATACTTTAAGAAATTTTTTAAACGTGCGAGGCGAGCTATCTACGGCATCGCCAGAGAAAGGTGACATTTTCGGAAGAACAGCGGGGGAAAACAGCTGCCACTTTCGACTACTGTTTACTCCTAATGCTGCGCGAATTAAGTAAACGGAAACTGCTCATTTCCATAACCATCAAAGGGTTAAGAGACCATAAGTAATTTTTGAGATAAAGGAAATCAGAAAGGGAAACATTAGAAGCTTTTAATGATTCACCATGATAACACTACATAATTACATTTTAACAAATTAAAAGCAAGACAGAAACAAATATATAATGGGCATGCATGCCTTTCTTAGTTCTTAATGCTGAAACAGCTAACACTTAAAAAGAAGAATATAGGTGTATGGAGAAATCAGGATGCTGTTTTTATTTGTGGTCATGAATTTGCAACTATAGGACTGGTTTATTTGTTGCTATATGTATTTCTGATATGAAATGTCCAAATCTATGAAAATGCAGTTAATGTAATTATGAAGAATTCATGAGCATAAAAATTCAGTAATGATGGAATAGTGTATTACCAAATATATCCTTCAGAGGGTTACAATATTCTTATTTTACATTGTAACACATAAAAAATTTTGAATAAGTTGAATTATTTTGAAATTGATGAATGCGATCTCAGCTCTTTAAAATGCTTTCAAGTCTGTATTAATAAGCTAATTAAAGTGAGAAATATTACAAAGAAAACTTTATCTCTAGTCAAAAATCACATCTATGTAATTCCAAATAAAAACAGAAAGGTAAGATCCTGCTGCAAAAATTCATTCAAAATTGAAAACCCATGTATAAGTTTAATATAAAGTCTTCGTATAAATCCAGCTATATATATTGCCAAAAGTATGAGCAGCTGGTCATCTAACTTATGATATAAAATAAAAGTCAGTACTGATTTATTTACCTTCAGTTCCCGTTCAAAAAATAAGGATGAAAGGACTGTAGAATAGAAGGGCACTTCAAAAACCAATAGTTTCTTTTCCTTAATTCTCCGAGCTTTTAGGCAGGTACATCCTTTATAATAGCATGGCTAATTTTACTTTCTTCTCCAATGTGGTAACTATTTTTAAATAATCACAAAACATTCTGTGTATTACCTGGGTAATGCTTTTATGAGTAAAATGCAAAATTTCATTTCTGTTATATAGTGAAATATCTCCAGACAAGAAAGATCTGCATAGTTTTAAACTAAAATTTATAAATTATACATGTTAAGCAGTGTTATAAATTGAATTGAAGATAATATTATCTACAAGAGATTCAATAAAGATTGTAATAATGAGACAGCAGATGATGATATTCATCTAGACTTTATCTTAGCAAAAAGAGATCTCCAAGAATTGTTAAAAAAAAAATTCTGAATCAAGTTAATATTGAAAAATCTGATTAATGCATATTAATAAAGTCAAAATATTTTTTCCAGTTATTTAACCAATAATGTCTTCTTGTGATTGAATAATTTGTGAATAAATTTGAACTCATACATACGTTTCAAACTTCAGTTGCAAAAGATTTATTTAAAGTTCTTGACTTACACATGGAATTATGTGATACTTTTTCGACACTGAAGTATAAAATCCAATTTGCATTCCTTTGTGTTCAAATTTTGCAATCATAGCTTACTACTAATTTATGAGTTACAGAAATTTTTAATATACTTGCCTGTAATGCCAATGAAAAATTAACTTTTATAATTAAAACTTATTTATTTGCAAATTGAAAAAGATTATTCTGAGCTGTATATTTTGAATCAATTTTATGTGAAAATTTTCATGACATGTACTTAATTCTCTTTTCAGTTGGAAGTTGCAGAGAGCCATAAAACTTCAAGCCCAGGTACATATTATAACCTTCTAAGCGAAGCTCATATGATTTTAAGAGCAGAGCTTTTTCTAAAAAAATTCAGAGACAAAGAAATTGAAACATTATTCAGGAAATCATGTTTATTATTGGCCGATTATTTTCTGTTGTAAGTATTTCATTTTATTGTCATTTTATAACTCTTAGAACAATATAAAATTTGCTTTTAATTAAAAAATAATTTAATTTCAAATTAATAATTTAATAATGGTTGTTTAACAATGTCCTCTTAATGTAAAAGAATTCATTTCTAGTAGATGAGTATCTTGCAGAACTAAATGCAGTGGAACACAAAATCCAAACCTCTTTTCCTTTTTTAATGAGGGCTGTAAAAATATTTATCAATTTGTTGTATAAATATCACTTATATAAGTATCACTTATCAGTATTAGTTGATGTGTTTTTACATAATTTTTTGTATATGTACAAAGTTTGGCAAAAGAGTGATGAGGAAGCTCGCATTCCAGAGGAATTGATGACTCAGAAACTTTTCTGCATGTGAGAGGTTACATAATACCTTTTTGACCGTCGGAAATAATTTCTACTCTTTCTATGAATATATGCCTGTTCAGAACGTATTTCTGAATGTGATTTGTTTGCAATAATGAAACATCAGAATTTTGTACGATAGGGTTCAATAAGTTTTCATGTAAAGCCTGAGGAGACTAAAACTGTGGGAAAGGGGAAACAGATGTGTGTAGGGCATACTTTAATAACAGCATAAGTTTTCAAGTTGCACAAAGCCTTTTCAGAGGGTCATGAATTTATTTAAGATGCAAGCCACTGTTTAAGTCCTTGTACACACAAAACAGCCAAAATATGAGTGAGAAATCTTGTGGTATCAGATCATCACCTAAGAATGAAGATGATTAAGAGGAAGTTAAATTGGAATCTTCAGTCCTGGAAATCTTAATCTGTAAATTGGGAAGGCAGAAGGTGTGCATGAGATTGAGATATAAAAAATTTCATATTCAAGTAGAGAAAGAATTTTAATGTATGTCTTTTTATCTTCTGGAATGTATGTAAACTGATAGGTGCACCTTTGGTAATACAGGTGTAGCTTAGCCATACCCAGGAAGTAGCCTGGGGGTCTGCCACCCCTTGCTACCAACCACTTGAGAGGACTTTTGACTGAACGTGTGTTTTGAGTGACCTTTTTGCTGCTATGCACTTGCAAACATGTTATACACCTTCTCCAAAATTCATACCTGAGCCCAATGATAGAGTTGCCATTAGCACTAACTACTATATTAAAGAGAAGGGGCTATCTAAACTAATAGCAGTCATCTAAAGATAACAATTTCTATTGATGAAACCTGGATTTTTCTGAAAAATCTATCTGAGTCAAGAGTAGCATCTTCTTCTTCTTCAATGGCCAGACAGCCCAGGATGGCCCCTTGAATTCCTCAGAATTGAATTCCAAGCTCTTCTATCCCTGTCCATGGACATCCAATTGGTTATTTTTAAAATTCCTAAATCTGTTTCCAAACAGTAAAGCCACCTAAGTTTAGGTCTCCCTCTTTTTTGGGTGCCGAATGGTCTGGCCGAGAAGATCTTTATAGTTACTCGATTTTCATCCATTCTGCACAGGTGTCTTGCCCATTTAATTCTCTGAATCCTTATGTATTTTACTATATCTATTTCTTTAAAGGATTGATAGAGTTCAGAGTTAGTTCTCCAGATATTGTTACATTTTATTCTACCAAAAATACTTCTCAAAATTTTTCTTTCGAGACAGAAACGATACTTTTAGCTTTTTCTGTCATTGGCCAGGTCTCAGCAGAGTATGTAAGAATGAGTCTAATTAAGCTTTTGTAAATTAAAATCTTCGTTTTTCTGCTAGTGAAGTTAGACTTCAAATATTTTTAGTTTTATTTTGGTTGATTGCTAGATGCATTTTGCTGGCGACAGCCTCTAGAGATGTAAAAATCCCCGTAAGTGACTCAGGAGTGCGTGCGACTATGTCAATATTGTCAGCAAACGCAAAAATCTGAACAGACTTGTTAAAGATAGTTCCACGAGTATTAATGTTGGAGTCTTTTATGATTTTTTGGAGGCAAGGTTTAAAAATTCTATTTTATAAATACAGAAAATAACATATTCAGAATCACTTTTCCCAGTTCTATCTGCATAATCCAATACAAATATATAAAATCGGAAAAGCATTTCAATATGGAGCGACTATTAGATGATGATGCAGCCTCCTAAAATCTAAGCATATGTAGTAACCAGGTTTTGTTAATTAATGAATTTTATTCATTGCAGTTGACAATGTTGACAGTTAGTTCATTATATTAAATCAATAACAGAAAAATTAATAGTTAGTAAAAATTAAATTCTAGTTTCGAGTCAAGTGATACTGAATAACTTCATCGTTGTAAAATCAAGGGTTTCTGTGTAACCAGGACCCTCGGTAGCATATAAAATTGGATTTCACCTTTCAGCACACATGCCATGCACAAAGTTTGCGACAAATTCGGTTTTTAATGCACATTTTTTGTATATTGCAGCTGAGACGTGTGAATGTCATTTCTATTCCTTCTTTCAACCTTTTCCACATCATGGAATGTGCCAACAGGAAGTCATATGACTTTTTTTTTTTTGTTTTGTTTTACTGGGCTTTTGTGCTATATGGCAGCTTCTTCATAAAAGTTACAACACCTAGTGGTTGTGGGTGAAAATTCGGAAAATAGTTTTTTCTCAAATATTTTGTAATTTTATGTTATTAGTTGGCGTGTATTATTTTAATTTGTATGAATTCAACTCTAATTCTTATATCGGTTTTCACTGCAAAAAAATATGTGCAACCAGCTGATTTTGCTCACATTCTTTAAGAATTATCTCATGAAGGGGAAAAAAGACAAGGAAACCTTTGGATGTGAGAACAATAGCAATCTAAGTGAGGAAAATATAGAGATAAATAACATCAGCAGTGAATCTGAACAATATATTTTGGATGATGAGACTAATAATGATATAGAAAGAAGAAATGATGATGGTATATTCTATGTTAGTAAGGATAAATCTTCTAAGTAGCGAAAACAGAAGTATGCAAACTGTTCAAAGATGAATAAGATGAATGTTGTAAGCATTACCTGGACTAAAACACCATGCCAAGGATATAAAGGATGAAATAGGAACATTTTTTAAAATAGTTGATGTAAATATCCTGGATGAAATTTTAGAATGTACAAATAAATATATAAGTTTGCTAAAAGAAAAAATACTCAAGAGACAAAGGTTGTTATATATCAGGGTTGGCCAAACTTCATGTCAGTAAGAGCTACACGTTTGAATTCAGGAATGTTCGAGAGCCACATCTAGAATTTCTAAAAGCCACAAGTTCATATTTACATCATTATAGAAGTAGTGGAGGAGGTTTTAAATAGAAAGAAATCCCTGATAACTTTGTAAAAAGAGTATAAACTAATTAATTACTTCCTTTTGGACACTGAATAGTTTTAGTTTAAGATATTTCATACATATATTTTGTACGCATGAGCCGCACAAATTGCCTGCGAGAGCCATATCAGGCTCGCGAGCCGCACTTTGGCCACCCCTAGGAATAAAAAAAGGACAGCATTGTAAACACAATAGAAGTGATGGCACTGGAATTGAAATCAGAGCTCTCATGAGCTACAAGAGATTTTTATTTCTGGATTTTATAGATTTATTTCGATGATAAATCAACAGGACAGGACAGATGAATATTATAACTAGCTTGGATTTTAAAATATAGTTATAAAATAATAAATTTTAAAATTTCTATAATGAAATACATCATTGCTTTCCCACCTGACTGATATAAGCGTTTAAAAATAATTTACAGTCATTTGAATGCGACATTATTTGTATTTTGCAATAATAAGGTTAATATTTTATGTTTTAACAAATTTATTATCAATATTCTCTCATTTCTGTCATTTTTCATGCCAAAAACAGTAAAATAAGAGATGTCATAAAAAATATGACACGCGCATGCTCATATAAAATTGCCAAGCGCATGGGCTGGGAGGTTAAGTAATCTTTATTTATTCCTCATTTTGGAATCATTTATCTTTATTTAGTATGTATAAAAATTCCCGTCTTTAGTTCTGTTGTGTTAAGCACCATATTTCCCCCAAAGAGCACATACTGAAATATTAATTTGCAGAAAGTAAAATTTTTAATAAAGTAGTACTGTAGTTCTCTTTTCTTTACAAAATGTAGCGTAGACAACATTTTCATGATTTTGTTATTCTGTAGAAAACTTAGTTCTTAAGAATGTTTGAAATTCCTGCATCAAAAATCTGTAGCTCTGTTTTATATATATATATATTTTCACTTTATCCAATTTCAGAGACTTGTTTCATTTGCTTAAAGTTCTCAATATGCTTGTGCTAATTGTTTCACTCAAACACACATGAACAGTTGCACATACTTATTGATCTTGTAGATATTGTAAAGGTGAATGATATTTTAAACATGTTTCATTTGCCTAACCAACAGGTCCATTATGAATTTTATTTGATGTAGTTGTCATATGTAATTTTTTTAAATACTATTTTTTTAATTTATTATTGCATTTAATTTTTGCTTTGTAGCTCAGATTCTGCACACAAACTGAATGCTATACCTTATTACCATTTATCAAACCTGACACCTGAAAGTGTAGTTCAACGAATTTTAGATTATCGTCATCAGGTAAAATTTTAATAGAAAAATTCATATTTTCCTGAAGTTACATGTGCTTATTTGTTCAAGCTATATTTTCACATGCAATCGTGTTATTAGTTTTAGTCTTAAATGCTAACTGTGCATGAGTTTTGGAAAAGTACTTGTTGTGAATTTGAATCAGTTGAAAATGCTATTCTCCTAAATTTGAACTCTTAAAATATAACAAGAATCTATTTTGAAAGAATGTCAATATAGAAAAGGGCCTTCCACATTCTCTGAAAGTTGAGGAATGACAAGAAATTTACACACATACACAAATTAATTAAGAAATGTAGTACAGAATCTTTTAATATTATGAAACAATAGTGCCATTACAATGCACTATTCTAGAGCTCTGTAACAAGGGTGATCTCTCACCACTGGATCTGTATATGATTTTAAGTATAACTGCATACTAAAGTGGTGATTTAAAACAAGCATTCATTCTGAAGAGGAAACAGATTTGTGCAAAATATATTTGCCAAGTGCCATAATTGTAGGATTTGATATAATTTATTTCTCAGATATGTATTTTAAGCAAAAACCAAAGAGAGTCAATTTTGTATCTCCAGTTAGAAAAGCGCTTGTTGTGAATTTGAATCAGTTGAAAATGCTATTCTCCTAAATTTGAACTAGTTCACTGACAAAATTTAAATCCTCCTAGTTCACTGACAAAATTTAAATATCCAAATATCCATCTTTTTCAAATCTTGAAAGAGGAAATTGGAAACATATTAGATTTATTTACAGCCTACAGCTTCGTGCCAATGTATATTTTTGATAGAAAATCAGAGTTTATTTATTGACATGCTGTCATGCTGTTTTCACATATGTTCTATACCTAAAATAATACCAATAAATATCAATTTTTAAAAATTATGTTGACAGTTTAATTTAAAAGTAGCTCAAAATTCCATTGCTGTAGTATTAATTGACAGATGAAAAATATTTTTATTTAATAATATATCTTTATTAGTAGCCCATGTGATAGTTTTAATTGAGTAGTACTAAAATGCTGATTTGCCAAAAGACAGTGCTTAGCAATGTGAAGACAAAGATTTTCTTCATGCTGCAAAACATATCTGCCTTGAAAACACATAAATATTTCAATAGTAATCAATAGTAATTTAGAAATTAATAAACAGTTTCTTATATGTAAGAGAGTTTTAGCTCTGTTTACTTCCATTTATTTATTTATTTTTGCTCCATTAATTGAGCAAAGTTACTTTAAATTTGGTGATTGATTTAAGACACATATCAAAACAAAATTTATGATAATATCTTCTTTAATGTTTTAAGCTATCAAGGAGTATTTTACTTTTCAGTGTATATGAATTATACAGTTATTACTTTTTATTACATATGAATATATATTAACTGTTTCATAACAAAAACATCCAAGATAGCCCTTCATTTAAATGACCAATGGCTGCCCAAATGGTCGAAATAGCATGCTGTGTTTCTATCCCCCTAAAGCACAGAATAGCCTAAGGTGTAGCTTCCCCAAATGTATTGTGTCAGTTCATCTTTATTGTAGACTGTCTTTCCTAAAAGGATTCCTTTATGGTTTTTTATCTTCAAGTTAAAGGAGACTTAGTATACACTCAGCGGCTAATAGTAGCTCCATGGTAGGAACTAGAAATGATATCTTTTGAAACTTTCACACCTCTTTATTCGTCAATGAATGGTAGAAGTTGTTGTAAGTCTGAAATGGAATTTGAGGCATTTTGACATTTTAAGCAAACAAGTTCAAAGGGTTAAACATCCATTTACTTAGTTTACACAAAGATATATATCATTATCTGAGGGCCCACCAGCGGCCGAGCGGTAAAGTCGCTGAACACTGGTAGTTCGGTCCGAGGTTTGAATCCCGCGAACGGGCTGGCTGCATGAGCGTTTTCGTGGTTTTCCCCATGTGTAACGTGTATACGAGCCAGTTTCCCTTAGAAAGTCCTCCATGAAGGCATCCCTCCCCTTAGGCAGATAGCCCTCGAGGCTTTGCCATAATAACACACACACACATTATCTGAGATCTTATTTAATGTATTGCCACCTTCCTAAAAAATCACTTATTGGTGTCTGATATGTAACTAGTCAATGACTAATATTTTTATTTCAGTGAATTTTATGTCAGTGAATAATATTTTTGTTTTTGTTTGTAATGGCTTTGCAGTTCATATTAAGGAAATTCATTGAACTTTTAAATATACTTTAAATTTAAATACCAGAAATAGCTGTATTTCTGACTGTAGCTTTTTTTTCTTTTTATGCCATATTATATTATGCTGTCACAGCTATAATCAGCCTCATGTACTGTCAAAAAATTATGGTAAAAATTTTAATTTGAAACCCCATAGGAGTAAAGCTGTGGTGAAATTTCCAAAAACATTTAAATTAAATTGAAGAAGAAAACTTGCACAATTTTCTTAAATGAAACAAAATGTGTAAAGCTCAGAATGTATTCGAAAGTCTTTCATCTAGACGTCCATAATCTGGAATGATCTATAATCCGGACCTCAAAGCTAAAAACTTTCTGCGCATGCGCCGCGTTGGCACATGCGCACAGTCGTTTTACGCGTGCGCGTAAGACTTTGACTACTGCGCATATGCGTGTGCGCAAGTGCAGAATACGTTTTTGCCTGCGCGTTTAATGTATAACGGACGTGTAAGCTAAAATTATCTAATTATCTATTTCAGTTAATGTTAATGATTGCGTTGTTCCTTAATCTTCGAATTGTATCCCGCTTATTATTTTTTGCAGACTGTAAGAGCAATTTTATAAAAGTAACCTTGAACTTTCGATTATGTCAAATAGAATTTCCGATGCTGGAGCTTCCAAAGGATCTACGAAACGAAAGTATGTTTCGATGTCCAACAAACAAAAAGTGGAATTGCTGCAAAAAATGGATAAAGACATGAAGAATGTGACAGAGAGGTTAGTGAAAACGAAAAAATTTCGATTGACAAGTTAGTCTGTATTCTCGGCACAGCAATTAACGGGACTTGAACGGCGGAACTTTGTAACTGAACAAGAACTTATGTCTGTTTATAGAATTAAAGAGAAAGTATTATCACATAAAACGAAGCAACTTAAACTACTTGCATTGAAAGAAATGTTTAATAAAGTAAACAAATAAATATTAATCTCTTTTTTTTTTTTTTTTTTTTTTTTTTTTTGGTAAATTTTGATACCTTTTAGATCATAATTGTTCTTTATTTCATAAATTACGGTTTCATATTTTTAATTTTAGAATTTCTGCATACCATCTTACGAGATTTAAACTGATGATCTATAATCCGGAATCGCCGAAGTCCCGACGAGTCCGGATTAACGACTTTTGACTGTATATCATTATCGAGCGGTAAAGTCGCTGAACACTGGTAGTTCGGTCCGAGGTTTGAATCCCGCGAATGGGCTGGCTGCATGGGCGTTTTCGTGGTTTTCCCCATATGTAACGTGTATACGAGCCAGTTTCCCTTAGAAAGTCCTCCATGAAGGCATCCCTCCCCTTAGGCAGGTAGCCCTCGAGGCTTTGCCATAATAACACACACACATTATCTGAGATCTTATTTAATGTATTGCCACCTTCCTAAAAAATCACATATTGGTGTCTGATATGTAACTAGTCAATGACTAATATTTTTATTTCAGTGAATTTTATGTCAGTGAATAATATTTTTGTTTTTGTTTGTAATGCTTTGCAGTTCATATTAAGGAAATTCATTGAACTTTTAAATATACTTTAAATTTAAATACCAGAAATAGCTGTATTTCTGACCGTAGCTTTTTTTTCTTTTTATGCCATATTATATTATGCTGTCACAACTATAATCAGCCTCATGTACTGTCAAAAAATTATGGTAAAAATTTTAATTTGAAACTCCATAGGAGTAAAGCTGTGGTGAAATTTCCAAAAACATTTAAATTAAATTGAAGAAGAAAACTTGCACAATTTTCTTAAATGATTTGTAAAGCTCAGAACGTATTCGAAAAATGGTACAGCTATTTTAGCTTTCAGACTGTGAGTGTGGTACTGAAGCAGCATATATAGGGTGTATCAGTACAGCGTTGACAAACTTTCAGGAGAGATAGTCACCTAGACGATGGGAAATCACATAGGAATGCATGGTCAGAAATGCTTTCCTGGGGTGGTAGTGATGATATAAAAGTCAAGAAAGGAAGGACACAAACAGTGAGACCAAACATGTTTTATTAAGTTTAGTACAGCAGAAACCTACAAATAAGAAAAAAAAAAAAAAAACTATGATCATCATTAAAGAAGGTGTTCGAAATTACGACCCGGACCGTGATGCAAGCCTCACTTCTCTGGCACATGGAAGATCTGCATCACGAATGGAAAATCACATAAAAAATGCATGATAGACAGTTCCAGCATCATGGTCTGGGCCAAAATTTCGAACACCTTCTTTGATGATGATGTTTCTTTATGTTGTTTTTTCTTTATTTTTGTTGTACTCTGAATAATAAATATGTTTTCTCACCCTGTTTGTGTCCTTTCTTTCTTCACTTTTGTGTCATCACCACCGCCCCAGGAAAGCCTTTCTGACCATTCATTCCTGTGTGATTTCCCATCGTAAAGGTGTACTCTTTCTCTCAGTTTGTCAGTGCTGTACTGATATGCCCTGTATATATATATATAGAGAGAGAGAGAGAGACAGATAGTTGAGAGAGACAGATAGGTATACCCTGTTAAAACAGAGACCTTTGCAAGGTAAAGGTTGCCAGGAAAAGAGCAAGACTTTGCATCATTGGCAGACTATTAGCGAATGATCGAATAACATTGGAGGAAGCTTGTTGAGGCAATCTTGGCCTGTAATAGGCAGTAGTGCCACTAAAGGAGATATATATACATATACATAAATGAATGAATACAAAGTAAAAGCAGTTAAGAACCTAATCAATTACACACTAATAGCAGCAACAAGTAGTGGTAATAATGCAAAATAAAATAAAATAAATAAAATTATCTTTTATTATTTAAAACAAATTTTATGATTATTTTGCATTATGTATATATATGATTTTTAGAATAATTTATTTTATTTCTTACAGGCAAAACATGCTGATATATTGCTGCCTTTTATTCATTACCTAAATTCTGTTCTCTTTGAAGAGCGCATTTTTGAGTTTTCTCAGGTACATATCTTTTATTAATACATGGATATTTATTCTTTTTTATCAATCTATGTATTAGCTATGTTTGTTTAGGCACAAGCAGATGCCATTATATCTACATATTCAGAAGAAGCCCCAGACAGCTTGTGGAAAGTAATTTTATGTTCCAGTTTAACTGGATATAAAATTGGTAAGATTTCTTTAAACAAAGTAAATATTTTACATAGTTTTTAAAATTTGATATTTGCATGAAATTATTTATCTAAAAACCTAACTCTAAAAACTTATTTGAAAACTTTAATTTAATTTATTTAGACAAAGTCATTTTGATGTTGAAACGAAGACTGACAAGTAAACGACAGTAAGAACTGTTTTAATTCAATAGTTATGAAATTCCTAAATTCGTGCATTTTTGTTTTAAAACTGTATCAAATTTTTATATGCATGATATATTTACAGTCCACTGAGTCCTGTTAGTAGTGCTGCTGATACAACAGCATTAGTTCGACTTCTGATACAAAAAGGAAATTTTGATGCTGCGCAAAGTATGTTTTTATCACTTGCGAAGGTAAGACATTTAGATCTGTAGTTAACTGTCCATTTATGTAACTGTGCTTAATCATGCTGTTGCTGTGTTATTAATTATGCTGTTGGCTTTTATGAAACTTTGCAGTTATGTTTCTTGAATCTTTGAAGAATTAAGCTTGGAGTTTATCAAAAGTATACCTTTTTAACTGAAATAGTTTCTTTATCTGATTAATTGATTTGTATTCTAATTTTATGCTTTTTGTGACTTCTAAAGCTTATTCTGTTAAATAATTTAAAGTATCCGTGAATTATTTATTGCACTGTACTGTCTATATCCCATACCTAAAATTTGCATACCTAAAATTGTGAAATGGCTTTGCTATATTGTTACAAAATGTACAGATGTGGTAAGATAGCTTCCCCACAAAGCAGTTTTAGGGTTGCCATGAAATAGCAAGGAAAGCCATGTTGCCACATTTGGCGAGAAATCGCCCATTTGGCGACAAAATTGCCGATATACCATAGATGGTTGGAGAACCTTCTGGAACGAATTCTTACCGGTTTAGCCCAGAATGTTCTCGAACACTGGCCGAAAGCTATATAAACCCTGCTGGCCCGCAGTCAGGTGTGCTATATCGAGAGGGCGAGTCAGTGTATGTGCCTTGTCTAGAATGTGAGTTAGTATTGAGTTGGTGTCTCATCTAGCAAGTCAATCCCTGCGGAGTCAATCAAGTTGACAGCCAGCGAGTGCCGAGTGGGTCGTCGAGTGCACCGAAAGTGTCTCGTAGTGTATTGCAGTTAGTGCATCGTTGAGAGAGCGTGTTAAGCTCCGGGAATGACTGAACCGAAGAGTCAGGAGCTGTGCTCTGTGTGTCATCGAGTGCATCGCGAGTTGTAGCATGGAGAGTCTCAAGAGTACGTAAAGTTCCGAGAACGACCAAGCAGATCTTGAGCTG